CCCCCCCCTGCCCCGCCTCCCCCACAGAGCCACGGGCCAGCCTCTTCTGCATCTCGCCGTGCCGCAGCGCCGCCTCTTTCACCTTCAGGGTGAAGTAGCAGGCGGAGAAGCGGTCGTTGATGATGGCGATGGGCAGTGCTAGGATCAGGATCCCAGACAGGATGCAGAGGAAGCCCAGAACCTTCCCCGCCGCCGTGTCGGGTCGAATGTCTCCGTAGCCCACTGTGGTCATGGAGGTGGTGGCCCACCACCAGGCGGCGGGCACGCTGGTGAAGGTGGTGGCGGGACAATCGTGCTCCAGGGCAAAGACTGTGGAGGCAAAGATGGAGATCCCCACGCCGAGGAAGAGGAGCAGCAGTCCGACCTCCTCGTAACACTGAGCGATGGTCATCCCCAGAGACTTCAGACCTGAACCGAGCAGAAGGAGAACCATGATCAGAGACAGGAAACTTCAAAGCTTCTCTACAGGGAGCCAAACAGTCAAAACCTTCACCCCCATTCCTCTTGAGAGGAGGCGGGGCCTCCTCTGAAAAGACTCCACCTACTCCACCTAATCTGAGGAGGAGACTCCACCTTCTCTAAAGAAGGGATGGTGTGAGGTCTACTGTTTTTGTCCTGCAGTTTGTAAAAATGTGAGGCAGAAACCAGCAAACATCTTCTGAATGTGAGGAACCAGCAGGAACCCCAGTTCTGCTGATGGGACCAGAACAGAGTTCTTTCTGGTTTCAGCTCATTTTTCAGGTGAACATCTGACTCTGTGCTGTGATTGGCAGAAAAAGACACACATGTAAACATCAGCCAGCTCCTCGGGTCACCTCCGTTCTCCAGGGACAGTAGTCGTCTGCAGAACGTTCCTTCAGAAAGAACCCGAGGAAGGTTTGGACCTTCAGAACAGATGTAGTAGTTTTGGGCTGAATCAGATTTAGACCCAAGGTTCTCCTGGGATCCTCTTGACCCCCCTGATGTCCTACAGCCCCCCCCTCTCTGGATTAACTGGGTCTCCTGATGTGGTTCTGGATCTTTCCTCTCTGGTTGTTCTACTTTCCTGCTCCACTCCTCTCCATGTTCTTGTTTGGTCTTCATGAGTCCTGGGATCTCCCTCAGATCTGCATCTCTCCCATCTCTGTTGCTTCCATGTTCTCCTCCCGCTGCCAGAACCTGAATCGATGTTTCTTCGTTGTCCGAGAGTCCACCTTGGGTTCTAATAACACATCGTCTCAGTTCCTGAGGTTCTTCATGCAGGAGTCCACTTTGTAATACAGGAGTTTCTCAGGAAGCAGAGCCACCTTCTAACATGTGAAGTTCTTCACAAGACACAGAAATGTAAAGCTTTTTAGTTTTTGTTATTCCTGGACTGACCAGCTGTTCTTCAGCTCTGAAACCAGCCCTGGACCCGTTTCAACCCACAGGAAGGTTTAATTAGGTAAAGGAACCGGTCTGAGACCTCCACAGAGGTTCCATTAGAACCTCCTCCGTACATTCTGTGATGTTTTGGTCTCAACTTGATGTATACATGTGATACAGAGCAGTTGGTCCGCTCTGATGTTCTTCAAGTTCAAGAAGGTTCCCCTAAATCTGAACTGATCCAGATGTTCCAGTTCTGCTCCATTCACCCCCTCCTTTAGAAAACACTGAGACATTTGGGGGAGGACTGTCCCATGAGTCCTTGCAGCAGGTGGACCCAGAGGGATGTTCAGAGCTGTACCCATAGATATCATATAATCCATATATATCATATAAACCACATATATAAACCATATATATCATATAAACCACATATATAAACCATATATATCATATAAACTACATATATAATCCATAGATATCATATAATCCACAGATATATAAACACTAGATCCCTCATCGGCTGCTGCGGCGCAGGATTTTCGGCCGCCATCTTGAAACGGTCGTCTTATTTGGTTAAAGCAGAAGATGTCTCAGCACTTCGCAGCTTATTTCTGTTCAGATTGACGGACTAATGACGTCAGGTCTCGGGGGATAACTTCTCACAGTAAGATGAACATATTATTGTTAGTATTTTGTGAATATAATATTACTGTACTGTATTTATGTCCACCAGCTGATGTGATGTTCAGTGTAACACGGTGTTCAGCTGCAATGAAGCTGACTGAGATCTGATGACAGGAATATTTTGCTAACAATCATACTCACTATTTCAGCAGCTTTGGTTCATTATCAACAGATATGTATCAAAACTGGAGTTTTGTTTAAGTTCTAGGAAATAAAAAAATAAAACTAGGGAGAATATAGGAAATAGAAAATAAGATTGACCTCCTCTGTACAATGTTTCTGTGTAGACACAAATGTCTTGTTTTCATTTTGAAGGTTTCCCAAAGAACAAGATGTGAGGAAGAGGAGGAAGTATCTTTGAGGAGGATTCATCTGAGCAGTGAGGATTTTAAACTGGAGGATTTTGATCAAACTGGTCAGACTGTCCGACTGAGAGATGGTGTGGTACCATGGGTTCACCTTCAGAGAGTAGGAGCATCATTATAAGTTCATTAGAGTTCATAAAGTTACATATTTTATTGTGAGTCACAAGGTGAGACACCTCCATGTGTTTATATGAACAGGTAACTAGAGACTGTAAAGTTCATCTTCATGATGCTTTTTCATTTCAGCTTGAAAACTGCAGGACTACAGGAAGTGAACAAAAGCTGCAGCTGCTCTGTCTGTGGACGCTCAGGAACGTGCACGTCACACACACACACTCTCAGGAACGTGCACGTCACACACACTCTCAGGAACGTGCACGTCACACACACAACCTCAGGAACGTGCACATCACACACACAACCTCAGGAACGTGCACGTCACTCACACACACTCTCAGGAACGTGCACGTCACACACAATCTCAGGAACGTGCACATCACACACACAACCTCAGGAACGTGCACATCACACACACAACCTCAGGAACGTGCACGTCACACACACAACCTCAGGAACGTGCACGTCACACACACAACCTCAGGAACGTGCAGGTCACACACACACAACCTCAGGAACGTGCACGTCACACACACAACCTGGGCCTCATGATGTATTTCTATTTCAAACTTTATTTTTCATTGATCTTTATTTATCCAGGTCGACTCACTGAGTCACGAGAACTCATTTTCTAGAGAGACCTGTTTAGGAGCAGGTGGTGGGGGTTGAGTGCCTTGCTCAGGGGCCCAGGGTGGGGCCAATGAGGGTGGAGGCAGGTGTGGGTGTTTCACCTTTTCCACCTCATTTTGATGTTGACGTACTGGGAGTTGAACCTGTGACTTTCTGATCACAGGCCCATCTTGTAACCTCTGCTCCACCACTCCCCCACATGACATCATATCATACTGGTCGTATTAAAATCTCACTGGTTTCCTTCTAGATGTGTTAAACTGGTCCCCTGATGTTTGCAGGTGTGTGTGGTCAGTGGATGAAAAGCCTGGCATGAACAAGATGATGCTGGAGATGATGATTTGACGAGAGCTCCCACCTTCTACCTGTGAAGAACAAGAGCAGCTCAGTGAAGGTGCTGAGAGCTGCAGAGAGGCTGATCCATGGAGCTTCAACACAGCAACCTCCAAACATGTCCACCCTCACACACATCGTCTGTGGAGACACTGGACCACAGCACAACATCATAACACACTGACAACAACAACAATAGCAACAACAACAACAACAACAACAACAACAACAACAACAACACATTCATTAATGATTCAGACAAGTTTTTATTGTTTGTTTGTTTTACAATTAAAAACAGTTTGTTATCCACTGTTGTCATCACTGTTAAAATCCAGGTCTCTCTTGTAAATGAGTCCTATTGGCTCAGTGGAACTAACCTGTATCAATAAAGGTTGAATGAATATAAATATATACATAATGATTTATTCAACCTTTTATTTATACAGGTTGGCTTCGTGGAGCCACAAGGACTCTTTTACAAGAGACCTGCTCCAGACACAACATATAAAGTACAGACAAGAATAACAGGAAACAATGGCAACGATTTAACTACAGTAAAAATGATAAGAGATGATATGTATATATATATATATATATATATATATATATACATACATAAAGTTTGTATATATAGAATAGATATAATGTATATATAAGATTGTGATATTATAATGTGTGTGTATATATATATATATATATATATATTAATAAAAATGTATCAGTGACTGTGAGTTTTGCAAAAGGTGTCATAAGAATATTTTATTAGTGTTAATGTTAACCCCACCAAGAATATTTAAAAACACTGAACCATGTGTTCAGCTTTAATGTCTGTACGCCAAAAATTTACAGAGGGAAAACGTTGTGAGAATGAGTTTAGTATTCAGCTCTGACTGATTAAACGTGCAGATACTCTTGGTCATACTTCTGGTAAGATGGCGCCCGTGTACATGGCCTGCAATCTACCTCTGACAATACTGTTTGGATTATTTCTGCTTTTTTCGATTTTTGTCTGGGATATCAACTCGCTGCTTGTGTATGACCGACAACAGCTCCTCGATCTTCGATTGTCTGTATCTGCTGTCGCTGATTCGGACCATTTTGATCGTGACTCGGGACCCCCCCTTCTTCCACCCCTTCTGGCAGACGTGTCTGCTTGTTTACGCTGGGCCCCAAGCCTGCCTTGTAGGAGATATCGATCCAGACGCCGGGGAAAACGTGCCGGCCAGTAAAACTCAAAGCTCTGCGTGGTCAACGTTTCCACAGCCAGCTTCCTACGTGCCCGGACCAGGGAAAATATGGATGTTGTCTACCGGCCCGGCGCTTGGACCGTCCTGGAGGCGCTGTTTTTGAAAATCTGCAACCGTTGGCGCGCACCACCCCCACCATGGCTGGTTCTGTGTCGGACCAGATCAGGACGTGCCTCATCAACACAAGGTCTGTTGCCAACAAGACTTTTATTCTAAATGACTTTTTTAAAGGCGAGGGACTAGATTTTCTTTTTCTCACGGAATCCTGGTTGCCTTTGGGTGATTCAAGCGCCTTGGTGGAACTTTTACCTCCTGACTGTCTGCGTTTTAATGCCCCGCGGCCATCAGGTCGGCGGGGTGGTGGAATATTAACTGTATTTAAATCAAACTTTTCCTGTAAACAGTTGTCCACCCTCATGCCCTGCTCCAGTTTTGAGCTGAGTGCTTTTGAACTCGGACATTCCCTGCCCCTTCTGTGTGCGATTGTTTATCGCCCCCCTCGTTCCAAGGACTTCATAAGTGAATTCTCTGATTTTCTGGATTACATCACACCAAGATATGATCACTTTATTATCGTTGATGACTTTAATATTCACGTCTGTTGTCAGGAGAAGCCGTTAGTGAAGGACTTCCTTGATTTGGTGGACTCATTTAATTTAACTCAACATGTAAATGGTCCCACCCAACAACACGGTCACACTCTGGATCTC